CCATTTTTCCGTAATGACATATCGCGAGATCAGGCCAAAAAAGCACTGGATCTTTATGAAGCCGTATAAGAGGTAAAAGTCGCTTTTGCAGACACTCCTTAACATAAATATCTTGGTTAATTGTACCAGTGCTTACAAAAGGATCACTTTGGAAGCCGCATTGGCAAATTGCCTGCCAAATGAGAAACTTTTTTAGAAATTTGTCAAACTTTTTGTTTTTATATTTATCTGCAACATTGTCTCTTTTATTTGCAGTGTGAAATTCGCGGCCCCGGATTGTTTAAAATCGGCTTTTACGTACGATTCGTCATCCATAACAATACAGCCAAATTTTTGTATGAGACTGTCGTACAATTTCCGAGCACGTTGTTTCGCCAACAAATTTTGCCCACCGTTGCGATTAGGTGCTGCATTCACTTTGTAAGAACGTAGTCCTGCTGTTTTGCATACTTTTTGTATATACGAAGACGACATGTTTAATTTTTTGCCGACATCTCTTACCGAAAGTCCAGGATTTTTCTTAAAAGCAGATAACACTTCCTTTGCCTTAATTTCGCAAGCAAATCCTTTTTTTCTGCCACTAAATATATAGCTCGGAGGAGAAGCTCGGCCAAACACTAACATATGTGTAAGCGCCAATCTATTATTATTATAAATATATAGCTCTGAAAATACACAGCAAGAAATTTTTTGTATTCCCTTTTGTTCGCCTGTTCGTATTTACCTTTGTAAGTTTTGAAAAATGGCTTGAACGAACCAGTATAATATATAGCCTAGGCAAATTTTTAAAGAAACTTTTCGATACTAAGTTTTATTAAAACAAAATGTCGAAGTCAGCTTCATATAGAAACAAAGTCTTCGTTAGTTATATGAAGATATTTTCTTAAATATAATACCTTTACGGCACTCACATATTGACAAGATTTTACTATTTATTTTATTATTCTTTAATTTTAATTATCTGTTTATAAAATATAATGTATTCTTTAAGAAAAACTGTATAAACCCAAGATTAAATCTTTGCGAAACATCCAAAAACCAACATACTTTCGTAAAAATTTCGAGCTTTTTAATATTCTTTAGTTTTTAGCCCATTCAATTTTAGTATAATAAAGTGCAAGCTTAAAGTAGCTGGGACTTACCGTTGAACTTGGCATTTTTTTTTGTCGACGATGTCAGCCATTTTCTTCCATACGAAGTGTGTTCGACAATTTTTTTATATGAGAAAATTAGCAACACCTTCATCAAAGAAATCTTAAAAAACTTAGTTATATTAAAAATTAATGGGGTGAAAAACAGCACGCTCAAAATAAATCTAGGAAATCGAATTAAAAAGCTCGAAATTTTTACGAAAGTGATTTTTTTTTTTAATATTGCACAAAGTTTGAACCTTGGATTTGTACGGCTTTTCTTAAAATATAAATCGTATTTTTACAAACAATAATTAAAATTGAATAATATTAAGATAAATGGTCAAATCTTGTCGCAAAGTTTTGATACGCACTTGAAATGCTATTAAAATGTCAAATTTTAGTACTGAATCCAAAGAAAATGTCTCTTTAATCCATTAATAATAACTTAAATATGCTTTTTGTTAAGATGTATACCTGAAAATGTGTGCATACATATTTGCGTTAAATGCAGTACATGTGCACGTGGAATAAATTTGTAAAAGTGTCAAATACGTAAACGTATGTACATATACAATAAAACTTTCTCATGAATACCATAAAATCATTGGTATTGAAGGGAATGTACTAAGAAAATATATGAGCGAATTAAAAAGTGTATACAATATATAGCCGAAAAGTACATTTTTTGCATAGATTTCGTACTGAAGGAACAATTTCATTACCCAACACTGATACAGAATGTAAACAAACACAGGGTTGCAAGGAAAAAAAGTTGAACGAGCTCAAAGTTGGCTGGCGACCAACTTTGTTGAAAGCGATTAGTTGAAAGGCCGTTCGGACGAGACGATTTTTGCTTTAAACTAAAAGTTGCCTGAAAAATCGCCTCGTGCTAAAGCCCTATTAGACTTTCGATGTGGTTTCCAGTTCGTTTTGATGAAAAAACGAAGTAGAACAAGTTGGAAGAGGAGAAGAGTAGAATTTAAAAAGCGGCTAAATCCGTCTTATCGGATGAGCATCTAAACACTGGTTGTGAATGCATTTTCCAATTATACCGCTAATGACCCACAGATGGCGGGAAAAACACAGGTTTTAGATGTGGCATCGGAAAGGAACGCTTGTAAAGGGTTGCAAATTCGCAGGGTGCACTTGATGATTTTTTCGCAAATCGTTATTCGAAATTTTTCTTGATGATGCTAAATCAAGTGGGTTATCGGGATAGCCAATCACAGCCATAACCACGTGGTTAATCTCCGTTGTGGACATAGTATTAAGTTCTGTAATTTTTATGTGGGGAAACCACGCTAATGCCTGGATTATAATGGAAGTAACTGAACGGAGTGAACTATCAATTAATTATATTTTTTATTAGTAAATGAATGCAAATGATTATAATGCACTTGAGCGCAACGTAAAACGAAAGCATCTGAAATCAATAGATCCTTGCGAATTCGCCGCGAGTATAACCAGGTAGTAAAATTAATAGATCCAAGGCGAAGTTATACAAGGTGTTGTAAAATCAGCTGATTTCTCCGCCTTATAGAACTACCGCAATGATGTGAAGTCGATGTTTATCGAAAGTATGCAGTGAAACATACAAACACATATCTAAATGTTATGCACTAATTTGCTTTAAAAGAATAAGCTTGAAATTGACTTATTATTGGAGCATTCATATATTATTTACATATTTGGGCAATTCACAAGGTGTTGTGAAATTATATTTTCCTAACAAAAGTTGTGTTAAAACACGACGGTTGTGAACACCTGTTACGATTATTTATTATATCTCCGCACTTAACCTCACATAACACCGAATAAACATAGGTTGCAGAGTTGTATCGTCATGTGTTATTTTTCTTCACAAAACAATAACAACATTTTTACAACTGTCATGAAATATCATGACTTCACGACAAACACGACAAATACGACACCTTGTGAATTGCCCAATTATGTAAATCATTCCAATTATAAAATTGTGATGTAGCCTTATTCGAATTGTAATACGTATTTAATTTCATCTTCCGATACAAATGAATCGCTCTTTGTAAATTTCAATTGGAGATCATTCGATATTATCAAAATCACGCTCTGTCAACTTAATTCTTATACCATGTTCTGACCGACAACGAAAACGCTTTGAAAACGAGTTTTGGAATTGTGGGCTGAAGGCTGTTCACACCTGCTGTTAGTGTTTTCGTTGACATTTCTTACATCCTCTCATTGCAGTTTTGCTACACAAAAACAAACCAAACCAAAATGCTTTACCCACATTTTCTTTTAATTAGCAACCTCCTACTTTCATTCTTATTTTACTTTGGCCAGCCAATTAACAATAAATACGAAATAGCGTATTAAAGATGACAAAATATGACTTCCACTTCGACAAATAATCGAAAAAAACTAGTGAAGACACCGATTGGAACGAGTTGAACGTGAGTTTTCAAGTAGTTTTCAGCGAAAACTGGTTTTCGTTTGATAGATTTTACATGGACGAAAACACATGTTCTACATATTTCACATGGTATTACATATTTCGTCTTTTGTTCCTTAATTTAATAAAATACTTCTTCCTAGTTACGACTTAATTGCAGCTGCAGCCGAAACTAAATTTTAAGTTGGTACTTAGCCAGAAAAGTCGAAACTAAGGCGACTATGAATAGCTCTAGTTGTAACTTAGGATAGTTTCGACTTAGTTGTGAACTAAATATGACTATGAATATGCGCTATAGTAACTTGCAGAGTTGTAACGAAGAGACATTGTGAAGATTCCCTAAAACCGACATCGATAGTTTTCAAAAACTATCGATAGTAGCGACAAGTTTTTAACTGTCGATATTTCTATCGACAGTATCCCAGGTCTATTAGGCATGTTCCCATACAACACAGGAACGAAAGCTCTAGGTCTGGGATACTATCGATAGTACCGCCACGCGATAGTTTTCGAAACGATAGTTGAAAACATCGATAGTATCGATAGTACTATAGCATACCCTGCAAGAAGCCTGACCTATGATTATCGGCTAAATTATTGGGAAAACTGACTAAAACTTTTCGTCAGTTTAGCGGCTAGTTTTGTATGGGCTTGGGGAAAAAAGTGACCACTTCTCTGGGCGTGTGATAGTGCATCCCTTTCTTGCACACACACGGGCGCATTTACCTTACAGTATGTTAACTTGCTCACACATGTCTTCTAGCTGGTGATGTACAAGTGAGTTTAGCGATGAAACTATTGGGAAAATATCGCGATAATGAGTGATTTTTCTGACCACTATTCTAACCTCTAAATAATTGATAAATTATTGAATAGTTGGCAGCGAAATATCCAAAAATACATGAAACCAAGTTAAAAAATACAATTCGATTTAGGTTATGTGTTTGTTTTATTTGTAAAAATATATTGTCGAATATTAACTTAATTTCGCAAGCTTTTTCAGAGCCACTGAGCTCAGACAATTCTTATTTTTCATAGGGGTCTGAATTTTCGTCGCTAACAACTACCTCCATTCCTAGGTTCTGCTGGAGTTCCACGCTGGCGTTGCGCTGTATTTCAGCACTATAGTCACTGACTCCATAGTCGGCATAAGCGCACTGGCCTAAAATGTTTTCTTCTCTATCCACATAGCGTTAAAAAAGGTTTTTTTGCTCATTTTTTTATATACAAATAGAATATACGGATTTTGATGAATTCTTTCTTTAAATTCACCGACTTCTTTATTTTTCACCACAGCTAACAATGAAGTAAAATTTTCATTAATGTATGTATGTATGTACATAAGTAGGCGAGCCTACAATCGATAGTTTGTTTCCGATATGGTCAGCCGTTTTTTGCAGGGTATAGGATAGTGGCGACAGTTTTCAACTATCGTTACTATCGATTGTATCTCAGGTCTAGGAAGCTCCACGGAAAACAAACGATAAAATAATACATTTAAAAGTAAAATATGAATAGCGAAGGTAAATAATTGTTAATATAAAAATATTCAATTTCACACATTTTTAAAGATCTAACAGACATCCTAATTGAAGCACTGGAAGTATTCGTTAATCATATCATTTATGTACGCGGCTTATATCCGGAGCAAATTTTTAAAAAGCGGCGCGTTTACAATGTCCCTGTTTATGTGTCTATCTTCCCTAGTCTTAATTCCTACATTCTTAATGTTCTAAAAGCAGCGCGTAGTCTACAACAACAAGGAGAATTAGAATGTGTCTTACTGCAGTTCTATCATGACGAGGTACCTCTGAACGAGTGCTACAAATTCGATATTAAACAATTGCAGCAATTCATCGATGTTCCGGAAAGGGAAGAAGCGGAGCTACCAATGCTTCATGATAGGTTCCTAATTGATTTTGAACAAGAATTGCGGAGTTCACTTTACAAACTAGCCGAACGGTTGAAACCTCTGGAAAAGCTACCAAAAGGTGCCAAATTCAAGGTGTCACTAAATACGACACAAGAAGCATTTGTAAAATTTAGTCACAATCCATACTATCAGGTAAGAAAATAGTTAAAAATTCGTGGGGTTTGAACAATAAATAGCTTATTTGTTTAAGGACTTCCCTTGGCTCTGTGATCACTTAAAATTGGAACAGGAGAAACGTGTAATATCGCTCCTACCACTTACCCATTTATATAGCATAGGATTAATCTTGAACTTAGAAATATTTTAATTTATTTACATATAAAAGACAAATATATATTACTTTTAGGAGGATTTATATAACTTTTATGTATGTATTTTTAAACATTCCATATTTTTACAGCGAATAAATTATGTATTAACCTCGTACTATTCTTAAAGTAATCCTTGGCGCTTCAAGTCTTCATATGTCTTACGGTTAACTACATTGCCCAAAGAATCTTCAAATTCTTCCTCCTGATCAGCTATCCAGCGTTCACTTTGCTTTTGTGACTTGAGTTTCTCCCACAATGTGATAGCGTCTTCGATTTGTGTCACATTGGCAAAATGTGCAGTGTTTGGAATACCAAGACAACGCATCCCGTGCGCATGTCGCCATTCAGCAAAATGTCGTTGAAATGCTTTTGGACCTTTGTACGTATAATTGCCACAAATTTCGCAATTATAACTGATATTTAATCCGTGCAACTTATACAACCAGTAAGGTATTGGTTTGCCATCCCAGCCAAGAGGCAAATTCTTAGGGTTGTACGGAACATCATCTGCATCGTCTAAATCATCATTGTCACTTTCGCTTGCTTCGACATCGCTGTCATCGCGCTCTCCACCTGTACGCGCTTGTTTGCGTTGGACATTTTCTTTGGTGGCAGCTCTTTGCTCCGACAATAAATCTGCGTACTTATACAACAAAGCTTCTAATTGTGCGATTTCCTTGTGACGCTCATTATCACGAGAGTGCACATTCGCATTTTTGTTTGCCGGTTTCTTTGCTATTAAAGAGGGGTCTAGAGTCTTCTTTCCTTTCGTTGAAAAAAGTCTTTGAGCACGTTCTTCCAGAGTGCCACCACATTTCAAGCCTAAAGCCATCAGCGCAGATTTTAGTCGATCTAGACCAAGTGAAGCCAATTCCTCCCAGCTGGAAAATGCCGACAAATCTAAATGGGCACCAGTGTTGGCCAAAGCGGATTCAGTTTCCTTGGTTGCCCAGCCTGTAAAGAATTTGCTTAATTAAGAATACTAAAATAACAGTTATGATTTTACCTGGAAAAGTTCCCTGCAACCACTGACGTTGAAACTCCAGCTCCACCTTAACTAGTTCAGCTTCGATATCGAGTAAAGGATGTATACGCGTTACAAAAGTGTGCAAATAGCCATTTAGGTTTTCAATATATTTTCGATATTCACGATTTTTTCGCTCGCGAGGAATGTCAAAGACGTGATCAAAAGTCATTAAATAAGTGATATAATCTACTTTTTCCACGCCGCGAAGATTAAGATATTGTTCGTAGCATTCGTTAAGATCTAGATAGCGGCCACCTCCCTCCTCGTCGGTGAATTCAACTAAGGCCGACATTTCATCTAAATTATTATAAGCTTTTGTGAGTTCTTCAAATTCAACCGAAAGCGGGACACTTATCTCTGACGGATGCTTTTTATAGAATTCCTTTATCTGCTTCAAACGTGAATAGAATTCATTAAATTCATTCGGACCTGAAAGGGCTTGGATTTCGGCTTTTCGCTCATTGTCTTTATCTTCGTAAAGCTCCTTTAACTTTGCGGTCGAGTTATTATAAAGATCCAGCAAGCATTTCAACCTCTGCTCCGAGTGAATACGCTCCTTTTCGCCATTCTTCTTGGTTGCATACTCGTCTACCATTAGTTTTATTAAACGTTCGCGTTCTTCATGGTAGCGACGTTGCTGCTCCAGAAGAGTCTCCATAAATGCAAAGTATTTAGTGCTTTATCAACCCAAAAATAATTGTTTAATCGATCTTTATTTATTTCGTTTTAATATCACCCAAAACCAGAAAAATGCGGCTGTCAGTAGGGATGGTAACACTGTGGTGCGCGGCGCCTTGCCTTAACACTGTAGCCGGAATCGCCGCGCCAATGCTAATAAATGAAAAGTGCTAGCGCCAATAATTGGCCTTAATTATTTGAAAAATTATTGTACCAAGGCGAATTAAACCAAGGTGGTGTTGATGGAGATATAGATTTTCGCCGCGGTACTTATTAATGTCAAAATTATGTGTTTGTTTTAATATGAATTCGCCTTGTTTACAACAAACACATCGTTTTGACATTAATAAGTACAGCGGTTAAAATCTAAATTCGCCATCAACACCAGCTTGTGTAAATTCGTCCTGACATGTACTTTGCTTTTGCCTTTGAGAGGTGAGAACGGCAGAAGCTTATGTATCTTGGCAAATTTAGAGCTTTTACTCAGGAGTGATAAAAATATCGCGGAATTTACTACCAAAGAACGTAGATAACAAGAAGGGACAACTCGTTATAATTGTGGCGAAAGTGCACAACAGGGGCGGGCGTGCCTTCTCTTTTCATCCAATCAAAAAATGCACTAGGGCATTATAACGAGTTGTCCTTTCTTGTTATCTACGTTCATTGTTACTACAACCTTAGCAGTTAAATTCGATTGGCGGCAAACGTGTTGTTTAGCGCCGAAAATTAAAGAAACAATAGACATGGCACTGCTGTATTCTATATATGACACTGTATGGCGATTGGTGCAGTGGAGACACTCAGATGACGCCGTGTTCAAATCAGTACACTGCGCTATTGCCTTGAGCTAGTGCGCTGACACACAGACGGCGCCAGCGCTATTGAGCTAGGCTCATAAAAATTGCGTTATTACCAATGTATAGCTGTCAGTACTTTGTTTGACAAGCACAATTAGGAAGGTTCGATATCGTATAGATTTTTCTGAATTTCGATATTTCATCGCACGATAATCGATTTTTTGAATCGATATTCCAAGGTCGATATATCGAAGACATCAATACTTTACCCGCAATATCGATATTTAAGTTGAAATTTATTTTTCTTCTACAAAGAAGTGCATGGAAAAATACTAAAGTAGGCTTAATCAACAGCTTGTGTGATTTATTTAGCTTTTAGGTTTGACAAATCGCTTGAGTCGACCAGCATGCCGCTTTAATCCTCAGTAAATATACAAGATGGAAATTACACAATTAGTTGAGTTGATAAGCAGGTCTAATATTCCATTCAATTGGGAGTAGGATTTTCAACATCGATTTGTCCGATATCGGTATTGTCCAGCCCGATATATCGCCATATCGATTTTACATGCAATGAATTAAATCGATTCATGATATCGATACTTTCTTAAATATCGAACATTCCTAAGCACAATAGTGACAATTTCAAAGGGATGCCACATTGACTGAAGCAGTGTGGCCACTAGTAATCTTTTCGGACCAAATTTGGTCGCTTCTTTTTCATTTGGTAGGTTGGTCGGCAAAGTAAGATTTTGGTCTAATAGTTGAATTAATTTTTTCAATTCTTAATTATAAAAATATAAATTTCAAACATTATTTTGCATATAAATATTTGTCAAATGTACCATTTAAACATTTGCCAATCCTGCCTTTAAAAATAAGTAACCTAATTGGTTTGGCCACTGATGGAGCCAATGTTATGGCTGGAGACTTGGGCAGGCTGAAAACATTATTGAGTACCGATTTATTTTATATGAAGTGCACATGCCACTCACTTCACCTTTGCTCAAGCTACGCTTGTAAAAAATTGTCATTGAGACACTGTGCTGCAACATACATAAATAATTTCTCACATTCCAAAGAGGATACGTGAACTGAAGGAGTTTCAGGACTACTGTTCGGTAAAACTAAAAAAAATCTGGGACATATCTCAAACACGATGGCTTTCACTAGAAAGCGTTGTGTTAAGTTAAATAGTTGAGCAATGGGATAGTTTGAAACTTTATTTTATTTCCTGCTTAAACGGTATGCGATCTGCAAACTTGACAGAAGGAAATGCTGTTTTTATTTCTATCGTATATTTTCCCCATAATTAAAAATCTTAACAAAGAGTTCCAAGCAGAAAGCTCTCGTCTGCCATACTTATTTGCAACTATCAAAGCACATTATCTCTTAATTTTGAGTAAGTTTATTAAAAGAGATGCGATCAGTAACATATTAATGTTGATTTTAAAAATGAAAATAATCATGCTAAAATGTTTGTATTTTTTTAAACGTAGTATATTACCCATTTTGTTGAGTACGGGATTGATTTCTGGGCTGTTTTGCGCACCCGCGGGA